AATTTCAACAGACCAGAAATGACTTCTATGGGAATGTTGGTCAGTCAGTGTCAACAGACAAGAAAAATTCTCTATGGGAAGGGGGGGGGGTCATTGATGTCCTCAGATTATTTTCGTTTTGGGGTGGGGGGAAGCAGAATTTTCTAGTTTTTTTTTAATTTCTAGTATTGTATTCCTTTTACTGTCTTCTTTTTTTTAAAACTTTTTGTTTTCAGATTTACGTCACTGGCAGTTTGGACAACACCAAATTAGTTTCACAGCCTGTCGCAAAGATTGAGCTTTAAATGTCATTCGTTGAAGCATACACCACGACAGCTTTGAGAGAAAAAGCTCTTCAGTCTACGATTAGTTATAGTTAACGCACTGAATGAGTCCAGACCGCGGAGACTGTGAACATGTCAGTGATGCCAGTCACACATCTCTGGGGAACACCATTGAAATTTGGAAATCAAAGCTCTTCCATGTGTGAGAGTTAGGACGTATTGAACTCTGGCATTGATACGTTTAGCATTGTCAAGACAATGTATCGATTGCAGTGTGTGCCACCGACAATTAACCTTTCGGCTACATATATATGTGTCCAATTCTGGCGGAATTCAAATTACGATTCGCATAGGGGGGTGGGATGGGGATAAATTTTATTGACGTAACTTCCGTTTTTGTATAATGCGGTTAACAACAATGTTGCTGTGTAAAGAAAATATTTCCTCAATTTTTAGAAAGTCGTAGATTTGTAGAACATTCCATTTGTTAATAAAACATTTTTACTAGGCTTGTTGTAGTTGAAAGTTATAGTTGAAAAACGGGGCGTGTACGGCCTTCCTAAAGAGGCAACATTAAAGATATCTTTACAGACCAAACTGAATTGCAAATTAAATTGTTAAGAAGTTAGGCGAGGTCATTCCATAAAATGTAGACCCAGGGAGATGAGCCAAGTGTCAAATCACATTTCGGATACGGTCCCCTCTCAAATTAAAATTCAAGAAAGACGTTTACAATTATAGTACACCGCAGCATATCTCAGATTAAATACAAAAGTTTACATTACATCACAAAGTAGCTTGATATTGTGTCGTAACACAATGATGTATGAACAGTCTCACTGTGTGAACCCGACTTAATGCAAAGCTAAATTTAATGGGGAAAAAAACAACTACATCAACGCTTAGCATCTGCATAGTTTGATCAATTAAACATCATTTGTCCTGTCTATTTTCCATTGTGTCCTGTCTATGTTCCATTGTGTCATATCTATGCTCCATTGTGTCCTGTCTATATTCCATTGGTTCCTGTTTGTGTTCCTTTGTGTCCTGTCTATGTTCCATTGTGCCCTGTCTATTTTCCATTGTGTCCTGTCTATGTGCCATTGTGTCCTATTTTCCATTGTGTCCTGTCTATGTTCAATTGTGTCTTGTCTATGTCCCATTGTGTCCTGTCTGTGTTCCTTTGTGTCCTGTCTATGTTCCATTGTGTCCTGTCTATGTTTCATTGTGTCCTGTCTATGTTCCATTGTGTCATGTCTATGTTAGATTGTGTGTTGTCTATTAACTATATTCTATATTCAGAAATAACTGAGCGCAAAAAACATCTGCAGAGAATTCAAAGTCTTGTGTTACACAAGGGTTCTTAGATTGTGTTACATTGTATTACACAAGGGTTCTTAGATTGTGTTACATTGTGTTACACAAGGGTTCTTACATTTTGTTACATTGTGTTACACTAGGTTTCTTAGATCTTGTTACACAACGATCGCTTGTTTATCAATAATTACTCATCTCAATTTTAGATCTCTTTAAATATGTGTCCCCCCCCCCTCAAACTATGATGACCATCCCCAACCCCATTGCCAATGACACAATTTATAATACTAATATGCAAGACTTTACAGATACTAATCTTCCAATGTATACTAATAAATTCCTTTTTACTATGCTGTAGAGATTATGTTTCAATTGTTGTGCCCCATTGGTGCCCCACTGTGAAACCTACTCACATAGGTCCTTGGGGTATTCTTCCCTTTGGTGCCCCACTGGGTTACCTACTCACATTGGTCCTTGTCGTATTCTTCCCCTTTGGTGCTCCACTGGGTTACCTACTCCTATAGGTGCTTGGGGAATTCTTTCCCTTTGGTGCCCCACTGGGATACCTACTCACATAGATCCTTGGGGCATTCTGCCCTTTTGGTGCCTAACCGGGATACTCACGCACATAGGTCCTGAGGAATTCTGTCCCTTCAGTGCCTCACTGTGATACCTACTCACAATGGTCCTTGGGCATTCTGTCCCTTCGATGCCCCACTGGGATACCTACTGTCAAAAGTCCATGCGCATTCTTCTTCTTTGGTACTCCAATGGAATACCTACACACATTGATCCTGGGACATTCTGCCCATTTGGTGCCTAACTGGGACACCTACTCACATAGACCATGGGACATTCTGCCCCTTTGGTGCCTAACTGGACACCTACTGACATAGATCATGGGCCATTCTTTCCCTTTGGTGCCTAACTGGGATACCTACTCACATATTCCATGAGGCATTGTGCCCCTTTGGTGCCTAACTGGGATACCTACTGACATAGATCATGGGACAATCTACCCCTTTGGTTCCTAACTGGGATACCTACTCACATATTCCATGAGGCATTGTGCCCCCTTTGGTGCCTTCACTGGGAATCCTACTCACATAGGTCCTGGGGAATTCGGCCCCTTTGCTGCCCCACTGGGATACCTACGCACAAAGGTCCTTTGGAATTCTTCCGTTTTGGTAACCCACTGGGATGCCTACTCACATATTTCATGGGGCATTGTGCCACATTTGGTGCCTCACTAAGTTACCTACTCACACAGGTCTTTGGGGCATTCTTCCCCTTTTGTGTCTCACTGTGATACTTACTGACATAGGTCCTTGGGGTATCCTTCCCCTTTGGTGCCCCACTGGGATACCTACTCACATAGGTCCTTGGGGTATTTTTCACCTTTGGTGCCCCACCGGGTTGCCTACTCCTATAGATGCTTGGGGCATTCTTTCCCTCTGGTGCCCCACTGAGATACCTACTCACATAGGTCCTGAGGCATTCTGCCCTTTTGGTGCCTAACATGGATACCTACTCACATAGGTCATGGGGAATTCTGTTCGTTCAGTGCCCTCCTGTGATACCTACTCACGAAGGTCCTTTTGCATTCTGTCCCTTCGATGTCCCACTGGGATACCTACTGATAAATGTCCATGGGCATTTTTTTCGTTGGTACCCCAATGGGATACCTACTCACATAGGTCCTGGTGCATTATGTCCTTTGGTGCCTAACTGGGACACCTACTCACATAGGTCCTGGCACATTCTTTCCCTTTGGTGCCTAACTGGGATACCTACTCACAATGGTCCTTGTGGCATTCTGTCCCTTCGATGCCCCAATGGGATACCTAGTCACATAGGTCCTGGGGAATTCTGTCTATTCAGTGCCTAACTGGGATACCTACTCACAATGGTCCTGGGGAATTATATCCCTTCAGTGCCTCACTGGGATACCTACTCACAAAGGTCCTTGGGCATTATGTCCCTTCGATACCCCACTGGGATACCTACTCATAAAGGTTTATGGGCATTCTTATTCTTTGCTACCCCACTAGGATGCCTACTCACAAAGGTCCTGGGGAATTCGGTCCCTTTGGTACCCCACTGGTATACCTACGCACAAAGGTTCTTTGGAATTTTTCCCCTTTGGTGCACCACTGGGATGCCTACTCACATATGTTATGGGCCATTGTGCCCACCTTCGTTGCCTCGCTGGGATACCTACTTACATAGGTCCTATTTTCTTATTTTTTTTTTTCAACCATTAAAGATATTTTCCATTAGTTTGCCTAGTTACGTGTATTAGTCTTAGACTAGCACGAACACACCCGAAATTGGAGAATCCCATCTTGAACAAAGTGATTAGTGCGCAGCAGTGCAGCAGACAACTCCTGGCGCTGTGGCGGCGTCTGGCAACGCGTGGGAGACCTGTTTCCTTTTCAAATATCGATACATCCAATCCAAACATGTGTCGTGTTTGTCATTGATTTATAAATCATTATAATTATTACATTCTCTTTGTTAATATCAAACACGCTGTATTGTATAACAATACAATCTAGTCCTACAAGTAGCCCATTGTATGAGTGGGGTGATGCACTTTGGGATGAAAGAAGGTATCAGATTCTAACACAATCACTGCCGTCATAGCTAGATCAAGGTCAGATTCTAGCAAAATCACTGCCGTCATACCCCGATCAAGGGTCTCAGATTTTAGCACAATTACTGCAGTAATACCCCGATCAAGGGTCTCAGATTTTAGCACAATCATTGCATTAATACCCAGTTCAAGCTCTTGACTTCAGTTTCTTTGAATGCGTGGATCTTAATTGCCTTGACCCTAACATGACCTTGCTGTTTCAATCAGGAATAGCATAATGGATTAGTGAATTACTCTCATAAAAGACTTTAAGAAATTCTTCCTCTTCCAAATTTTAAGGGCCCACAATCAATGTATTGATAGTCTAGCTCCTATCTATGTGGGGATGATTCGCTATGTTTCGTTTTAAGAGGATATGGATATGTCACTGGTTGTAAGGGCTTTCATCGAGGGTATCAGGAACTGGGGGTTGTAAGGGCTTTCATCGAGGGTATCAGGAACTGGGGGTTGTAAGGGCTTTCATTGAGGGTATCAGGAACTGGGGGTTGTAAGGGCTTTCATCGAGGGTATCAGGAACTGGGGGTTGTAAGGGCTTTCATCGAGGGTATCAGGAACTGGGGGTTGTAAGGGCTTTCATCGAGGGTATCAGGAACTGGGGGTTGGAAGGCATGAGAACTTAAAATTTATTTAAAATCTACTAGAGTCTTAAAAAAGGCACACGCACATAGACACACACATAGACACACACACAGACACACACAGACACACAGAAAAACGTATGCAAAAATGTTTAAAATGACATAAAATAATGAAACAATTATCCATAAATTTTAGGATGTTATTTTATTTCTCTGTTATTAAATGCTCAAGCGATGACGTGGCACATTTGTTTTCTTTCTGAGAATAAATTAACGCAAGAATAAATTAGGATAAATGTATCTACTCACAAAAATCATCAACATTAAAATTATCCTATTGTTCCAATAGGAACATTTTGACTTGCCGGAATGGTAAAATTTTGACTTGCTTGAATGGGAACAAATAAAGCTTCCATTAAAATTGCAGGAGCCACACTCGGTTATTTATTTTTTCAAAATGCATGAACACAAGAATGAGGCCTATATCACAGTCTTGACTGTATGAGAGAAGCCCTAGCTTTATCGTTGGGACTCTTTTTTTTTTTTTTTTAAAATATCTTTTCTATCGTTAAGAATTTGACTTGTAGTTTGTAAGCGGTTCATTGGTTCAAAGGTCAGCCGCACTTTCATGGAATCTGTCTGCTCGATTAAAAAAAAATTATAATAAACATCTCATACGGGGGATGCTGAAAGAAAGGGGACCGCCGGGTATCGTACTCTACAGGCCCGTCCCTGCGGATAAGATAACTACATTAGAATTGATAGAAACATGCAATCATAAGTCCAATACGTCTTGATGATAACATTTTAACAGGGTTTCATCTTTTCTTTGACATCGCAAGGGCGCGGTGGACGCTTCTGTTCGGTGAGTATGGGGGCGTTCTCCACATACTTTGCCATCGTGTGGTACGTGAAGGCCTGCGGGTTCGAGTAGCTGGCCATCGACTTCCCTTTGGAGTAGAGCTTGAAAAATGGCAGTGACGTCACGCCTTCGTTGGAGCACAGCGACGTCTCCTGGACACAATCCACAGCAGCGTAAGCGTGGTTCTCTCTCTCGGTTATCTTGGCAGCCTGCGGTGAGTGGATGGTGGATGGATGGTGAGTGCATGGTGGGTGGATGGTGGGTGGATCGTGTGTGGATGGTGGGTGGATGGTGGGTGGATGGTGGGTGGATCGTGTGTGGATGGTGGGTGGATGGTGGGTGGATGGAGGTTGGATGGTGGGTGGATGATGGGTGGATGATGGGTGGACGGTGGATGGATGGTGGTTGGATGATGGGTGGATGATGGGTGGATGGTGGGTTGATGGCGGGTGGATGGTGGGTTGATGGTGGTGGATGGTGGGTGGATTTTGGATGAATGGTGTGTGGATGGTGGGTGGATGCTGGGTGGATGGTAGGTGATGGGTGGGTGGTGGGTGGATTGTGGGTGTATGATGTAGGATGGTGGTGGACGATGGCTGGATGGTGAGTGGATGGTGGTGGTTGGTGGGTTGATGGTGAGTGGATGGTGGGTGGATTGTTTGTGGATTGTGGGTGCATGGATGATGGGTGGATGGATGATGGGTGGATGGATGATGGGTGGATGGATGATGGGTGGATGGATGATGGGTATATGGATAATGGTGGATGTATGATGGGTGGATGGTGGGATGGGTGGGTGGTTGGTGGATGGTGAGTGGTTAGTTGGTGAATGGTGAGTGGATGGTGGGTGGATTGTTTGATGGTGGGTGGATTGTGGGTGGATTGGGGGTGGATTGTGGAAGGATGATGGGTGGATGATGAGTGGATGGCGGGTGGGTAGAAGAGGAGGAAAATATAGTGGTGTCAAACGTAGGATGGTCGAGGTGGGTAGAAGAGGTGGACAATATATAGTGTCAATCTTATGATGGACGAGGTGGGTAGAAGAGGAGGAAAATATAGTGTCAAACGTAGGATGGACTGGGTCGATCGAAGAGGTGGACAATATAGTGTCAAACTTATGATGGATGGTGGGTGCGTAGAAGAAATAAAGATAGCAGTCGACAATAAATAACAAAGCAGTAGATATCGAATAAGAAAAGCAGTGGATGACGAATAAGGAAAGCAGTGGATGACGAATAGGGAAAGCAGTGGATGACGAATAAGGAAAGCAGTGGATGACTAATAAGGAAAGCAGTGGGAAGAATAAGGAAAGCAGTCGATGACGAATAGGGAAAGCAGTGGATGACTAATAAGGAAAGCAGTGGGAAGAATAAGGAAAGCAGTGGATAACGAAGATGGAACGAGCTGAATGTCCCTAGTTGTAACGATTCCTAATGATTAATACCAACTATACAGAGGATATAAAATAACGTAAAAATAACGTCGATATTATGTAACAGCATCATGTTCTAGTTCGGAGATACTGATCTTCCATCGAGCGCCTCCCCAGGTGGCGGATAAGGGAAAGCCCACCAGAAATGGCGGGCACCGGAGAAATAAAATACGCGGGGCGGACCTAAATCAGAACCTACTGCCTTGTAGGAAGTGGAGGGATCCCCAAAGGATAGGGACCTGACTTAATACATAGACGGCTACCCTGAGAGCTGCAAGGGGCACCACCTCCCAGGCGGTTGTGTGCACGGCTGATGACCCTGCCACATACAAAATTCAATGATATATGGATAGCGACCTGGAATGTACCGATTCTGAACAGAGGGGGAGCAGTGGCCCGAATCATTTACCTGGAATGCACTGAGTCTACATAGAGCTGGAGCTGTGGCCCGAATGATTGACCAGGAATGCACTGGGTCTACATAGAGCGGGAGCAGGGGCACGCATAATTGACCTGGAATGCACTGAGTCTAAATAGAACGAGAGCAGTGGCGCGCATCATTGATGAATAGCTAAGATCTAGAATCGTGGTTGCGGCACTGCAGGAGACCAGTATGAAAGACTCGGATTTTAAGACTATGTATTAAGGATTATACAATATTCTACAGTGGAAACAACACCAAGTCTCTAGGAACATGTTTTCAAAGACCCACCCACAGTCGCAACAATAAAAAAGGCAGACTGCGCAGGACAGGACACATTGAGGGTATCGCGTATTGGAGAGCAGCAAAAGTGATCTACAGGAGGATTCTAGGAGCAGACGACTCACCGGTCGACCAAGACTGAGATCGATCGACGATGTAGAGAAAGGCTTACACCAGCTGGGGATCGCGCATTTTTCTCTTGCTATATAAAAAAAAGCAACCAGGGGCGCAAACTGGGGTTCATTCGTGATACGCCTCTGGAAGTGAATTTAAGAAACCGGAAAATGCTTATGTTTAAAATCCTAGCTGACAAGTTTTTCTTGTCTTGCCACTGACCTCCCTCATCGGAAGATGGGGGTGCAACGAAGAAAGGAGGACCCGTTACAGTTCACTTAATGAAATATTTGACTTTCAGTTATTGACTTACCTTCAAGAAATGTTTTTTAGACCACTCACACTGCGGCTCCTTGGCGTCGTAAAACATAACAAGTGCCACGTCTTTCTCTTTGAGAAAGTCCATGAAGACAGACTCTTTGAGACCTTCCACAAGTCGCGAGCCGATGAAGCCGTCAATATGATTGCCCTGTTTCTTCACCTTAGCTGTCTTCGGTGCTGCGGGCGGAGGAGCCATTTGTGTAGAAGATTCTTGGTCACCCTTGGTCAAGTGATGAACTGTGATCTGGATTCCGTTACAATTATAAAACGTTACTTTCTTTGTTTTTGTTTTTAAAATGGCGTTATTACGTGAAACTAAAGGCCTGTCGTTAAGCAAAAAACTTCCATGCTTTCGACGTCACCATTTCATGCGTGGTTCCCAAAAAAGTACGCATTTTTTAATGTCACGAAACATTGTCCAATTTACGTCATCAAAAATAGTGGAATTATTTATTGCTTGTACCTATTCATCTTGATTTGTTGTTAATTCTTGGCAAAGTACAATAAATTATATGAACAAACAAATTCGAGAAAGAGCTAAATATTTAAAAACAAAACTTATTCCTTTTTTTTTTTACTGCAAAGGAAAAAAAAAGTATCAGTGCTATCCGAAACTTGGAAACATTTTCTCTATTTAAAAAAAAAAAATGAGTTTCGTTTTAAACCACGTGACTTTTGCTATCGTATGCATTAACTATTTTCGTTAGTGCAAGATCAATGAGAGTTCTTGTGTGATATTGTTATAAATATGCTGAGATCTACATCCACCAATCAAAAGTTAAAATAACAATTGAAAAAAAATAATTTTGAAAAAAAAATTAAGGTGATATTGCGCAACATTGCTTTCTTGAAATTGAAATTTATTAGCCTACCACTCATGTGATGTTTTAGGGCACACCTGCGCAAATTAAAATGTAAGGCGGGCCAGAATACTTTATGAAAAACTTGTGCGGGCTAAAAGAAAATAGGACATGACTTGTGCGGGTAAAAAAAAACAAAAACAAAAAAAACAACTTTTGCAGGCCAAAAGAAAATACTTGTGTCGGCCAAAAGCAAATAGGACAGGTGGAAAATCTAATAAGAAAATAATAAGAATAAATATAATTTCGTTACTTTACGGGCCGTCAAGAGTGTGCTGGCGGGCCGCATGCAGCCCGCAGGCCTTAGTTGTTTTAGGGCATTGATCGGTATAGAAATACAATTTCTACATATATTTTACAAAATAAACACAATTAATTATAATAATTACAATAATAAAAGACTTATTCAAGCAAAATAAGTCCATGATTTTTGGTTGTCTTTGTATGATAGCATGCACATTCAAAAGTCCGTTTCATTATTATAAAATAATTTAATGCTATATGCGATTGATAAGTTCATATAAAATATAAATCGATCAAAAATGAAATATTGATATATAGAATAAAAAATGATATTATAGATATTAATAAATTTAAATGCGTAAATTATTATATGTTACGGGATTTTTTTAATCAACTTAATTAAATAAAATCTTTTATTCAAGGATTTCGGAAAATCAAATGATTTATTCAAAAATTATAGAAGGTTTTTACTGGATTTATAATTTTTTGTGTTGTATTTGAGAGTTTTAAATAACGGATCGCTGAACTTGAAGTGTACCATAAAATGAGAGTTATAATTTGTATACAACTCGTCATGGTTACCACGTGACGAAATCTCGTTGTCGGCGAGATCATGCAAGCAACATGGCGACGTTCACTAAATACGGCGACCAACTGAAAAAAATAACGGAAGGCTGGTCAAAATGGGAAATAGCATTATGCGTTGGCGCGCCTATTGCCTTGGGGCTTGCTGGTTTATGGTATTTTAGACGCAGCAAGAAACCCAAAACTTTAAAAGAAAGTGGCCAAGGAGAAGATGCCAAAAAAGAAGTAACTAAGAAAACGTCAAATGTTACGAAGAAATCAGAGGTAGAGATTATGAAATTACATTGCTAATAATAGGATTTTAAAAATTTATCTTTCAAAAAACGGTCAATTCAACAATCACTTTCTTAGTTTTGTTAAACAATGCTTCTTTTACTTCTGATTTATATATTGTGTAAAGTCTGTTTATTTAATTGTTTACATGACTTATTTGACTCCAGCCACACGTTCTTGAACTTGACATTCAAAATCACTCAAGTCAAGTCACTGCCCTCAAAATTCACCATTCAATTAGTAGGCCCAATAAATGCATTTCAAAATCGAGATCAAAGTTTGTTGTTTGCATAAAGTCATAAAGGCCTAGTAAATATTTACAATTTCACACTTTTCAGATAATAAAATTTTAGCCTAAACTTTGCACAGACTCTTTTATAGCCACTTCGATGAGATCCGGGAATTGCCGAAAACCGGGTATCATGATTTCGTTATCAAAATGGCGACCTCCACTTTTTAATTTTCCGAGACCCTTGCTGTTTACGATTTTTTTGCTAATTATAGCCCAGCAAGAACATTCTATTTCCGCCCACAACTTTGAGTAGACATGTTGTTTTATGATTAGACACTTTTGTTCTAAAAAATATTTGAGGTCTTAACTTTGAAAATTGAAGGTAAAATAATGCTTATTTTACTCATTCATATTTTTTTTCTGGAAAGGGTGTCTTTCTTAAATAAAAAGACGACGGGAGATAATAGCATAAATTACAACATATCAAAAATTCAAGAGGTTAGCACCAAGTTCAATGGTCTAAAAATGCCTACCAAATTTTTGCCACGTGTGTCCCAAAATGACCTATTATAGATAACGATTTTTAATAATAAAAAAAAAAGTAAATAACTTTATTTACAATGGAAATCCAGCTTATTACTCCAAAATAACTCATTCAAAAATAAAAACAAACACTTTAATAACACAGATACCTATCTAAACAACATAAATATATTTTTTAAACTTGTTTTGATGCTTTTAATTGAAGGGTATTGACTTGGGTATTGGGTTAAACTGAATTATTATTAGCCTCATTTTTATTATAATTAATATATTAAATATAACAGTTTAATATATATACAGGCCTAGAAAAGTATAGTATTTTAAGTTTAGGCCTAGCTCCTGCCCAACTCATTATTTGTGTGACACATTATTTATTTGTAATATTTTAATGAATATTATGATTCTTAATGAATAGATTAAGCAAAAATGTAAACAAAAAATAGTCACTTACCTTTCATATTGAAATATCCTATATTTAATCACATATCACAATATTTCACAAGAGAATTATTACATAATCCTTGTATTCTCAAAGAAAAAACACACTTTCTGCCACAATAGTCCAAGAATTACTTAAGATATTATTAATAATATTAAAGAACAATCATAAAAACTTATACTTACCACAAGCAAATGACTAGAACTTATTTTAGTTTGTATAAACCACCAAAGTTGATTCTATCAATGCATGTTTATTTGTGAAATAAGATTTCTAACTTGTAAAAAAATGACATACTATTTTTTTGTCATATTCAGACACTCATATGATATGGGACTAAAATACATATATAGAAAATGGTAAAATAAAAAGTGTAATCGTAAATTTTAACTAAATGAAACAAGTAATCCCTTTATTAGTTTATACTTATAAATGTTAAACAATTCCACAGAAAATTTGAAATTTACATCTAAAGAATATTATTATTATTATGATTCTAGGGAAATTTTTAAAAAAATATTTAAACAAAATTAATTAATTAATTTCAAATAAGTGACGAGTCAGCATATTTATACATGTTTTAAAAGGAAAAAATCAAGATTTTTTTTTTAATTTTTGCAGAATATTAACAAAAACTAACTTATATTTTGTGGCTTTATTTAGAAGTACTCTTATTGAACTATGTTCCCTGTAAATATATTTTTGTCTCATTTTACAATAAAGTTATAGGCATTCAAAAAAAAAGCAAATTGAGGGTCACGAAATGTGGAGGAAAATCCCATAGCAAAAAAAGTGCCTTTGAGGTCCCTACTAAAAAAATCATAACTTTTGAACCACTTGAGCTAGAAAGTTGATCTTGGTGTTTTTGAAATCTATTCTCCAGGCTCTATACAGCTGTAGTGTTTTTATATTTTTAAAAATGTTTTGAAATTTTAATCAAAGTGCCTACTCTTTTAAGTCTGAGACTACAAAGCTTATTAGGTACTTAACAGTATGAGTTTTGATTTGACAAGGGTCGTCTCACCATAGGTCATTTTGGGAAGTCCCAATAGTCTACTTAGGATAGCTCAATAGTTGGACCTGAAATATGTCACACTACTTCAACTATTTGTATTAATAATAATTTCCCATACTTCAGGGAGCATTCATTATTCACATAATAAACTGAAAATGGTTCAGATGACAGGGACAGAAGCTGGTATACCCCCCCCCCCCCCCCCCCCACCCCCCCCTACACCACCCTCCCCCTCGAACTCTCTATTCATGAACCCTCCCCCATAGGGGACAGGCTGTGAGGCGGCACCCCCAAGATGTTTCATCTTAGTGGCGAAACATCTAGCTATCTCAGTAACGGCAAAGGGGTAGCTTCCCTTAAATTAAACACATGGTAATGAGTGGATTTCTTACTGTGGATCACCATGACATCCCACGGTACCCTTGTAGCAAAATGTGATTCTATTATTTTGGCTGACGCAGATAGGGATCTTCACTGGCACCTTTTTGCTGTATACCACATAGATCCTAGTGTTAAGTTTCTAAAGTGATACTGGCAATTCCTGGTCTCATCATAAACTAAATCTCTTAATCATTAAAGTTTAGATGAAATCCATTCCTTTTTTAAAAATTCAACTTACAAGGTTCAAAAGAAATTGAAACAAAGTAACTCATCCTTGCTAAAACACCATGACCATTGGTGAAAAAGCACCCATTAGCTAAAAATGTTGCCTTCTGGTTGAAAAAAATGAAGTACCAGTATGGTATTCATTTCAATCATGCTACCGTTTCACAGTACATTTCAAATATAATTTTCTGAAGTGGGGAAAAAAATAAATATGGAAACAAAAGTGTTGTGGGTTGAGAGAATCTTGTACAGTATCTATGTAGAGAGTTCAAAATCCAAATCTTTTAAAAATACAGGACTAAACTTCGGGAACCTCTATGACCTATATGCTGTGAAAGAAATTAACAGCTATACCATTGAATACACCCTAGCCATATGATTCTGTATGACTGAAATTTCGTCAGTGCTAAAGTAAAATCACTTCTTTTCTAAAAAGAAATTGGTAGGCCTAGGCCTAAATTTTGTTACCGGTACCAATATTAATTATTTTAACCCCAAACATGATGAAAATAAAAGAGACATGTCTTGGCACTTGTTGGTAGTAGGTCATTGGAACTGAAATGAACTATGAAGTGCTTTTAACAGGTATTTTGCAGTGAAAAATTCACTTGTTTTTAGCAAGTATCACAATATTTTTACATTCATATAAGCCTAATAAAGGACATTTTACTTTAAAGTTTCTTTTAATTTATTAGTGGGAGTGGGGAGAATAATTGTAAGTTATTTCAAAAAGATATGCCATATGCATAATTAGTTTTATAAATATCTTAATCAAGTAAACAAAATTTTGAAAAAGCTTACTTATTACAAAGCTTACTTATTACAATAGTAATAGCTTTCTAATGATTAAACAAACAAAAAATGGTAAAATCATACTTAAAAGCAGAGGGTCCATATTAAAATGATTTATAAGTTGAGTTCATAAAGAATACAATTCTCCTCTGAATTTAAAAATAACTACTCATCAAAAAAAAATATTGCAGGCACCAATACTAGAACAAGGGACAGGGAAGCAAACTGAGTATATTATAAAATTTAAACTATTGATTTTATCAGCCTGCATAGTAAGATTTCAATACATGTATTCATTTGGCCCACTGTATTAATATGTGTGATGTGAATTTCTTTGATGAAACCTTGATGACTCCTTTTGGTATAAGTGAATGATTTGCATTCGAAGTGGTTATATGCAGCCGACTGCGTATAACCCTGAGAGTTATACGCAGTCGGCAAGTCACGTGAGGTCTAAATACTACCTTTGTTACAGTATCAATCGATAAAGGTGTCACGTTATCAGGGTGACTAGGTGGTCGAATGGTGTAAACTGAGCAAACCTCAAGTTCGTGGTCCTGAGTTCAATTCCAGCCAAAGGCCAGTCAAGAATGCACAATACGTGTTAGTTGTTATGTTTGTTGTGGACAATGAACCAAAAACAGCTACCCATATTGTCTTACTTTTATTTTGGCTAAACATGATAAGAATTAACTTGACCAATGTAATGTTAATAATGTTATTCTTATACTTATAATTATCATAATATATGTTCGTGTTGTTAATATATATTTTGTGGTGTTAACTAATTTTGTTTCTCTGGTACAGTAATTATAATGGGGTGGAGAGTAGAAAAAAATAGCTGTAGGGGCAGGGGGGTCTGTAGAGGGGGCACTGTAAGTAACACTTTCACACAGTTATAGTTTTGCATGGAAGCTGAAAACTGTTAAATTTAGGTCAACAAAAAAAAAAATCATAAATGATATAATTTTTAAAAAGTAAATAGAATGTACTTCCTGAATTAGTCAGTAAAACCAACCACATGGTCATAACAACATATAAAAACCTAATCAATCAAAATACAGAACTAGACTTAAACCATGGAAATGCCTTAAGGCATAATCATCCTCTCAGTCTTAGACTCTAAGAAATTTAGACCTTGACTTATAATATAAGCAATAATACTAATAATAGCACTAAAACTATTACTATCATTCAATATTTATTAAAATTAATTCAAATAAAATTTTTACTTTAAACACATTAAAAGTTATAGTTCAAAACAACCAATAATGCAGCTAATTACGCATAATACTTTTTTTAGAAATTGCCATACTAGCAGTAATAAACCTTATTTGGCTAAATTCCCAGCCGACAACGTATAACCCTGAAAGTTATACGCAGTCGGCTGAGAATAACTCAGGGTTATGCGCAGCCGACTGCGTATAACGCTTCCCATTTGCATTAATTTGTGTCTATTTTTAGATGAACTTGTAACTCTTGTAGTTAGTGCATCAATCAATGTTATGGCAATATCTTAGGTACTTTCATCACAGATCACCAAGTCTAAAAACATTATCAGAAAAAATTCTTATTTCAACGTTAATAGATTACTTATTTATTTATTTAAAAAAAAAAATTTTTTTATTGTAATGAATTACATTTTAGGGTTAGATATTAATTTAAAATTTTAAAAAAATTGCACAAAAAAAAAAAATTTTTTAAACTTAAATCTAGAAATACAATGATTATTTAAAATGATTACCTCAAAGTGACTTGAGGTGCTCTAAACTTAATAACTCCTTTAAATGTCATAAGCCAGAGTAAATAGTGTTTTCTAGGAGTTAACAATTGGTGTCATGATGTCATCTATTTGGAAACATGGAGTCATGTACAGACTTTTGTAACATGTAACTATAACATTTATGTTTATGTCTCATCCTACTAATGTGTACATCCTTATTTCACAGAGTCGCCAAGATCTTGCTCAAGCTGCTAAAAACAAAGGGAACAAATGCTTTAAAGATGGTTTGTATGATGAAGCAATTGTTTGCTACACAGAGGCCATCAAGACCTGCCCACCTGACATCAAATCTGATATTTCCACATTTTATCAGAACAGGGCAGCTGCATATGAGAACCAGGTCAGTACATGAGAACCATGTCAGTATAAGAGCATTCAGTCGTAAAGATCAGTTTGTTTGTTGAACACATTGAATACTTCAACATTTCCTGATGTTAAAAATCAATCAACTATTTAATAACTTAAAGATAATAAGAACATTATTGACAATTCCTGTAAGCTACATAAATTTAAGGTTTAGAGTCCACTCTCACCCCTTATAGATTTAATCAAGTGACCTTTGTCTTTGTGTTTTTAAATCCTTTATATTAACTTTGCTTTTGTTCATGTGTTTCTGTGTTTAAGAAGTTTACCCATTTACATAACTGCTTCTTAATAAATTAATAAATCATGTTTCATTACAAAAAATGCAAACAAAAATGCATATAAAGGATTTATATGAAAAACTTTGTTTTCAGGGGTTCTTTAATTACTTCTTATAAAAACTTTCAGCATTTAGTTCTAATTATTCCACTTTTGTCAGGCATTTTTCCTCTTTCTCTTCCTGTGATAGAAAAAATATGAAAGCGTTATTCAAGATTGTACTTCTGCGCTACAATTAAATCCTAAATATTCTAAAGCTCTTGCAAGACGATCCAAGGCTTATGAAGTTTTAGGAAAATACAGAGAAGCATTAGAAGGTAAGTTTTACAGTATAAAAGAAATCTTGAGTTTAGCCTCTTGCTTTTATATGAACCATAAATGTCAAGTCATCAACAAGGATTTACTTGTCATGATTTAAAGTGGTTTCTATGACATAAACATATTTTAAATAGTCAATTATACTATTTAATTCTGATAGAAGGGCAAATATTTAAAAAACCATTGTGGTATATTGCATTAATTAAGTCAACATTATGCATATTTGAGGCCAATGTTTTTAGCATTTTGAATAGATTGTCATGACTTTAACTCTAATCTGATTTTATTATATAAACAACATTTCAGATATAACCAAAGCATGTCTCATTGAAGGCTTCCAGAATGCAGCATTTTTGCAGGCTGCTGATAGGGTGCTGAAAACTCTTGGCAAGTTCAAGGCCACAGAGGCTTACAAGGTACTGTGCTCAACTGCATTATTTATCTTCAGATAGGAATTTAAATATTCCCTTTGATATTCCTTTTACAAGATAATCTTCGCTGACTTGTATACATTTAATTAAACACATACTTAATCATAACAATTTTGTTCGAATTAAGAATTCACAAAATGTATGTATTCATCAATATTCCATTTTCTTATTATAGTAATTTTAAACACATTTTTAGATTGGTTTCCTTGTTTACTGTGATGTTGCTAATAACTGACCATTCCTGGGACATCCACAGTCTAAGAAACCGACCCGTCCATCAAAGTTCTATGTTGAGAACTACCTAGCAGGATTTGTCAATGACCCAGTTGCTCTCAAGTTTGTCCCACGTAAGAGAAAGGAAGAGCTGGAAGGTTTAGGGGTCAAAATTAAACCAGATCTTGAGAAGATAGGAGATAATGGTAGTGTAATTGGAGATAAACTAAGGTAAATGAAAATGATTTGTAGTAATGAAGTGATTAAATATTGTAATTTAAAAAAACAAAAGTCTTTTTTCTAAAAGTCTTGTATTATGTAAGTCTTCTCAAAAGCAAAAGTAATGCATTTTTTAAATATAAAATGCTGTCATGTATAATATGACATGCCTGTTTCAGATATAGACTATTAAACAGCACTTCTATTGGTTTTACTTTCTGCATTAAATTTATTTTGATATCGTCCCTTAATCTCCAGCTTGCTACAAATCATTGATACTTCTACTTATGTGAGATGAATAAAAACTCTTTTCATTTTTACAGCGCATTTGACAAAGCAAGAAACTGTCTGATAAGCCAAGATTATGAAAAGATAATTCCCTTGTGTGACGAGGAACTGGCTAAAGAGGCCAATTCGTCTCATGTCATGGAGGCTCTTCTACTCAGGGGCACGATGCGTCTCCTTCAGGGCATCACTACTGGAGCACTTGCCGACCTGACGCGTGTGGGAAGTACAGAAGGTGCTGACAGCACGGTGAGCAAAACAGCTGACATATCTACCCTTGTGTTATAAAGTAGGGATGAATTAAATTTTTTAATTATTTTTTTATACCCTAACATGGCTGATCATTGGTCATTATTGGTGTCAAAATCATCTTTAAAAATGCAAATTATTTAATGCATTTTGTTTAAATGGAAATCACTCTATGTAAATGAGTTGGATTCCTGTTTAATTTTATATCAGTGTGTGCCTGTGCTTTTATTAGGGCTTTTTTTGTGATTAATCAGGTGTGACATTTGACTGTCATAATGTCTGATGATGGAGAAGGCCCTCTCTAGATTGCAAAATGACACAGACTTTTCTTATTGGAACTATTTCAAATGGACTAAAATAAAAGAAATTATTTCAGAGATATTCCGCTTGCTGGTAATGACAGGCTTAGCTCTAGCGTTGATGATGCCATGAGAGTCAGATATGACAAGTTTAGCCCTAAATTTAGTCATATTATTACAAATTGTTTGGGAAAGTGTGGACATTGAACAGAAAAGACAAAGATTGGATCCCAAAGACCTACCCTAAAGAATTGAAAGACATTTATTTTTGTATATATTCTTGAGTTTTAATTTAAAAAAATATTCTAGCTTTAATAACTTTCAATTGAAAGGAACTTTTCAAATTATTTTGTGCTTTTCCCCTTGTATTTTCTGTGAAAGAAATTTGAAGGTAGCGAGTGAACAAAATTACCAGTATTACAATTTTCAATATAAGCACCTATAACTTGACATTTTCTTAAAGAATATTGCATCTAGTATCACAAAAACGTGATAGTTTGAACAATTTATGGAGTATTTAGGTAGGTTGAATTCAGAAGTTGGGTACTAAAATTCTCTCCCTCTGTAAAAGTCGAGATCAATATCAACATACATTATATAAAAACAATTTTTTTTTAATAACATAAGATACCTTTTCCAATGTACTTTCAGTAAATGTGTTTCTGAATTCATTTAGTCTAGGATTTTGGCATTTTTTGACCAAGCATAAGAAATTGCTAAAAATGGCTCGACACTACAGAAATGTGCACTACAGGATTAAAGCAGGTTCTAAAAGGGTCTTCTCCTTAATCTTATGATTATAGTAACAAACCGACATCTAATTTGATACAGCAAAGAAACACTTATCAATGGAAACATTTTTACCCTTAAATTATCTGGAAATATTTGCCACCATTTTAGTATATGACTTATTTTCAACTCCTCCAATTACAGCTGAGAGCCACTGCCTTGATCCGGGAAGGAAGTTTACGCATGCAGAGGGAATCCTCTGATGAAGCTCTTTCATGTTTTACCAAAGCTGAGAAGCTAGATAATGATAACTCTGATGTCTACCATCATCATGGCCAGGTACTGTGCTAATGTCCCTATAACAGACCTGTTTACCCTCAAACTCTTAAAATTGTACAATATCATCACAAAATCGTTCAATACATTATCTTAATAGTAAACAAATAAACATTCAGTATATATAATGTATACACCTCAAAATCGTAAATTGTACGTCAAAATCGTAAGAGTAAACAGGTCTGCTATACAACAATAAAATTATTAGATTTGTATTTGTCCCAAAAGTTGCTAATTTCAAATTGGCACACCATAATTTTTTTTTATTTTATTATTTTATCGAATTCCATTGATCTGATACAAGGTACACACAGCACAGTTAGCAACATTTTTGTTAATTTTCTAATATTTTAAACAAAACTAGTTAATTTGCTTATTTCTTTCTCCTTTAGCAACTTCTGCAACTAGAGAAATTAGATGAAGCCATTACTAAGTTTGATAAGAGCATTCAACTGTCACCAAACTTTCCCACTTCCTACGTTCAAAAATATTACGCAGGTAAGCTTGCAGGTGTTGTACTTTGACAATCTCTGGCTATTTGAACTGATTAAACAAATAAAACTGGCCGAGATCAGATGTCTCTGAAACATTATGTGGTTGAAGTTGTCTAAAGAACTACTGATAGATTTATGCATAATACTATTTCTTCTTGAATATCATCTCTTAGCACCTCTAACGCTAATGTGCTGACCAAAGATTTCTCATCATGTTGATATATTTGACTCTGTCTCTGTCACAAGGGTGTTATTGTTATTCAGGTCCCTTTCATTGTTAGTCCATGTTGGTGCTATTCCATGTTTGTTATGCTGGTGTTTTGTCCTGTCATTGTTAGTCCATGTTGGTCATGCTGGTGTTTTGTTCTATATTGCACAATCAAATTTAAGCGAGAAAATCAATACAAATTTTGAGGTTTTAATTATGCTAACCTGTGTGTCTCTCTTTTAAGAATTTCACTGTTGTAAAACTTTTGTCTAACTTTTTTAATCTGGATGGGCATGTCAGTGCTATAGAATTAGTATAAAATTATTCATTTGTATAAAATTGAACAACCAGCCTGGTGATTATTACACTTGGGGGATTTTTGATTATTTATTATTGATTATTACATAAAGCACTTTTAGAAGGCTAGACACATAGCCTGGTGATTATTACTAATAGCATTTTTGGGATTAATGGTGATTATTACTAAAGACACTTTTAGAAAGCTAGACTCATGGCCTGGTGATTTTAATGTAAATGTTAGAAACTTGGTTTCTTAATGTAAAAAAAAAAAAGAAAATTTAACTTGGGAAATTTTAAAATAAATGGGCCTACATGTAAAAATGATTGAACCAACAAATGAATATACAACTATGAAACATATCGTTCTAACTCCAGTTCACAGGAAGGCCATTGTCAATGAAAACCTGACTTATTTGACTGAAGCTAAAACAGGATTTGAGAAAACTATTGCAAAGTTTCCAGACTGTAGTGATGCTTTAATCCTCTATGCCCAGGTAAAGGATTATGTTGGTCAATCAGCTTTTAGCACCCTACTTTATGAATTTGTAGCAGATGATGCTGTAAGTGTCCTGCTAACAATAAATAATATACGAATAACTTCAATTTAAATTATTTTATTTGAGCCAATATTAGAAAACCGTACTTTTTTAAAAAGGTTCTTCAGTTGATTGAGGAGTAGAGTTGAGAAAGTACTCAGGATATTGTATCTTTGTCACTTTTAGTCTGTTTGCTATGAAAACAATTCTATTGGAACTGGTGTTGTTATGAACTGAGAAACTAATCCCATAGATGGATTGTTTGTTTTTATATCTTTGGAGAAAAGTAGCGAAATGTCATTGAAGAAAATATTAGCAGTCTGGTCTAAAACCTATTGAAACATTTCCATCGGCAGTATATGGCTTACAGCACACATGTCATACCTATCACAACGGTATAAATAAAATAAGTAATGTTTAAAATACAAGTTAAAGCTCATACTTTAAAAATAAAAGTTTTTTATTGTTTGAGATCTAAGTCTGAATAATTGTTAAACTGTTGGTCATTATGTACCCATTATGTTGGGTGCAGTCCTGTTAAGAATGCAACATTCAGTTGTTTATAATCCTACTTCTTGTGTGTTTCCTAAATCCCATGGTTTTCATATCTAACTTTATCCCATGTGTTTCCTAACACTAGCTAACTTTATCCCATGCGTTTCCTAACACTAGCTAACTTTATCCCATGCGTTTCCTAACACTAGCTAACTTTATCCCATGTGTTTCCTAACACTAGCTAACTTTATCCCATGTGTTTCCTAACACTAGCTAACTTTATCCCATGCATTTCCTAACACTAGCTAACTTTATCCCATGTGTTTCCTAACACTAGCTAACTTTATCCCATGTGTTTCCTAACACTAGCTAACTTTATCCCATGTGTTTCCTAACACTAGCTAACTTTATCCCATGCTTTTCCTAACACTAGCTAACTTTATCCCATGTGTTTCCTAACACTAGCTAACTTTATCCCATGTGTTTCCTAACACTAGCTAACTTTATCCCATGTGTTTCCTAACACTAGCTAACTTTATCCCATGTGTTTCCTAACACTAGCTAACTTTATCCCATGTGTTTCCCAGGCTTTAAGTGATCAAGGAAAGTTTGAAGAAGCTGAGAAATATTTCAAGAAAGCCCAAGAAGTACAGCCACGGAATGCAAACAATATTGTACACCGTGGGTAAGTTTTAGACGGCTGTATCAAATCGAAGTCATTGAGTGATGACAGTCTTTATGACTGTGAGGACAGTCTTTATGACTGTGAGGACAGGCTTTATGACTGTGAGGACAGGCTTTATGACTGTGAGGACAGGCTTTATGACTGTGAGGACAGGCTTTATGACTGAGGACAGGCTTTATGACTGTGAGGACAGGCTTTATGACTGTGAGGACAGTCTTTATGACTGTGAGGACAGTCTTTATGACTGTGAGGACAGTCTTTATGACTGTGAGGACAGTCTTTATGACTGTGAGGACAGTCTTTATGACTGTGAGGACAGTCTTTATGACTGTGAGGACAGGCTTTATGACTGTGAGGACAGGCTTTATGACTGAGGACAGGCTTTATGACTGTGAGGACAGGCTTTATGACTGTGAGGACAGGCTTTATGACTGTGAGGACAGGCTTTATGAGAGAACATCTTGAGCTGTGTTACACCAGTGTGGCATCAAAGTCATCTCTGTCTGTGAGGACAGTCTTTATTAAAGAACCTATTGAGCCCTGTTACCAGTGTGGCATGTTTTTGCTGGAAAGTCTGTGTTTGCCACAATGTGCCACAATGGAATTGTTTAACAAATATGACTCTACAAGCGTGAATTCATTATCCTGGCTTAGCTAGATTTTGTAAGATAATACAAATGAGGTTTCAACATGGCTGACAACAGTCAGTTTATAAATTTTTATATTGTTTTAACAACCTTTATACAAAATATTGAGAACTAATTCTGAGGAAATGGTATGAAATTATTGTTTTAAAAATAACTTTTTTTTTATAGATATGACTATCTTGAGTTACTGTGTGACTATATAAAATGCTATATCTGATAAAGTCAATCCATGTACACATGCATAGGTTGATGATGTTGCAATGGGAAGGAAAAGTAGAGAAAACTATTGAACTCCTTGAAGAAGCCCTGAAGATAGACCCTACCTGCCAGTATGCTTATGAAATTAGAGGAACTATAGAAGTGCAGAGGTAAACAGTTTATTGAATCTTTATGTAGACTGCCAACATCATCTATTTAACTTAGTACATGATTCTTTTTATCAGTTCTCATATAAAGCACATAACTAATATAAATGTAGATTTTTGCTAAACATCTCATTTCTCAATAGATCTTTGCAACACAATTCGGATACACACATAGATCTTAGCTAAAGTCAGGTATCCATAGATCTTTGAAACAAAAGTCAGGTATCCATAGATCTTTGCTACACAACTCATGTTACACAAGTGAAGTGGCTATGATTCTCTTAGTACAACTCATACAACAAATGTTCATTTGACTAATTACAGTAAAATGTTACATTAAGAAATGGCGTCAACGGGCCGTCAAGCTTGTGCTCTTTATGCCCTCCCCAACCTGGTATCGGGCCGCAGAGCGGCGGATCGGGGATGACCCTTTGTCAGGACAGCCCCCACCCGAGTCTGCTCGACCAGGGTCTCCGCCGGGACCGTCCTAACCCAAAGACACCCGGTCGGTCCGACACTGTGTTCGCACACAGTGCACACGATCGACTTTCTCATGAGTCAGGATGGAAAAATTTACGTTCTAATATCTTCCCCCTCCCATCCTGGGGAAGCGTTAGATGCCCTATAAGAGGGATTCTACAGTGGGTTTCCACAACACAACTAATTCGCAATGTAGCTTCTGAGGGCTAGAGGTTACCACCTTTGCCTCTCGCCTCATATCCATTAACGGCAACTTTAATCATGATCCCTACCCTGTCACTGCCTATTTTTCCAGTTTGGAAGTATCACAACTGGCAGCCCTGTAGAAGCTGTTTTATGTAAGGCAGGTACTGAGCACATCCCTTGTCTACCCACGCAGAACGCGCCCAGTAGTTGTGTTCCCCGGGTAACGCCTAGGGGTTGGGTGGCCGACGCTTCCTAATCGACAAGCCACCACAGACTTGTCAACCGAAGAACTGGAAAGACTAATTAAAGTGAAATAATTCTATTGTTCAATGTTAAAATACTTGTCATTGAAAAACCTCTGCCACCTGAGAAGTGACTTTTTTTTAAAGCAACCAATTCTCAGAAAGAAATGATTTAGAGAGAATATTGACCATAGATCAGAGAGAAAACTCTTCCAGTACTCTATTAATGTTGTTTGATCTTTTCAGAGGAAATTTGACTGAAGCTGTGAACGCTTTCAAGAAAGCCATTGACTTGTCCAACTCTGAAGGGGAAATGGCTCATCTGTTTTCACTTATGGAGGCTGCAGAAGTCCAGGTAATGCATTGGTTATAACATGACCTCATGTTACAACAATCAAAGGGTCTAAGTCAATGCACAGAAAAGAGCAGAGTTTTGAACTCAAGCAGACCTGTTTACTCTTTTATTTTAGCATACAATGTACGATTTTGAGATGTCTTACGATTGCACGCCGAGACCCGTCGCAACTACGATTTTAAGAGACCGGGTTGAAAATATATACATTCCTAAAATTTTTTTCAGATTTAAAAAATAATAATAATTAAAAAGTTTATCTTTGGTTGTTAGTTTTAACTTGCATTTGCATTCCACATCCAGCAGTGAATGAATCAAGAAATACAATTGGTTGTGGACCATCTATAATTATATTACATTTTCCCCGAAAGGGTAATGGCGTGTAGTTGATTTAGGAGATTTTGTGTAAAAGGGGGGGGGTTCCAAATATTTAATTCTATACAAATTAACACCCTCATATTTTCGTAATGACAGAANACATCATAATTCTATAAAGATTATTGGAGTAATGTAACATCATAATTCTATAAAGATTATTGGAGTAATGTAACATCATAATTCTATAAAGATTATTGGAGTAATGTAACATCATAATTCTATAAAGATTATTGGAGTAATGTAACATCATAATTCTATAAAGATTATTGGAGTAATGTAACATCATAATTCTATAAAGATTATTGGAGTAATGTAACATCATAATTCTATAAAGATTATTGGAGTAATGTAACATCATAATTCTATAAAGATTATTGGAGTAATGTAACATCATAATTCTATAAAGATTATTGGAGTAATGTAACATCATAATTCTATAAAGATTATTGGAGTAATGTAACATCATAATTCTATAAAGATTATTGGAGTAATGTAACATCATAATTCTATAAAGATTATTGGAGTAATGTAACATCATAATTCTATAAAGATTATTGGAGTAATGTAACATCATAATTCTATAAAGATTATTGGAGTAATGTAACATCATAATTCTATAAAGATTATTGGAGTAATGTAACATCATAATTCTGTAAAGATTATTGGATGATTTTGTTTGGGTTTTTGGGTCTGTCATCTACTTTTTATCTTCATTTCCCTAATTTTGAGGCAAGGTTAACTTGATCCTGTTAGAGGTATGATGCCAGTAGTTATTCGTCATTATGTACTGTATGTTTGTTATTGTACAAAGCAACGGTGCTAAATTAATTAGAATAATCTTGTGGATGTAAAGATATATTTTTTTTTAAAAATTGACTTCTAAGTGCATGTTAAAAATGTGATATTCTAAATAACTTTAATTGCACTTATTTTAAGTGTTTTATGTTATAACCTTTTGGTAGAGTTACCAAGAAGATTTTTAAGCTGTGAGTATTGGAAGCAGCAGAGCTTAGTAGTTTTTCCATCATCCTGATCCAGTGGCCTTCTAAGGCATTTGGTGAAAGATGTTCATGTCTTCATCAATTGGTCTATACTGTGATGTAGAGGAGTGTAATGATGTATACTGAAGTACTGGGCAGTGAAATGTATGTTAGATGAGTTTTGATATGTACTGGGCAGTGAATTGTATGTTAGGTGAGTTTTGATATGTACTGGGCAGTGAATAGTATGTTAGATGAGTTTTGATATGTACTGGGCAGTGAAATGTATGTTAGATGAGTTTTGATATGTACTGGGCAGTGAATTGTATGTTAGATGAGTTTTGATATGTACTGGGCAGTGACATGTATGTTAGATGAGTTTTGATATGTACTGTGCAGTGAAATGTATGTTAGATGAGTTTTGATATGTACTGGGCAGTGAATTGTATGTTAGATGAGTTTTGATATGTACTGGGCAGTGAATTGTATGTTAGATGAGTTTTGATATGTACTGGGCAGTGAATTGTATGTTAGATGAGTTTTGATATGTACTGGGCAGTGAAATGTATGTTAGATGAGTTTTGATATGTACTGGGCAGTGAATTGTATGTTAGATGAGTTTTGATATGTACTGGGCAGTGAAATGTATGTTAGATGAGTTTTGATATGTACTGGGCAGTGCATTGTATGTTAGATGAGTTTTGATATGTACTGGGCAGTGAATAGTATGTTAGATGAGTTTTGATATGTACTGGACAGTGAAATGTGACCCATTAACCTAGGTTAGGACTCGTTAACCTTGAATGGGATGCGTTAACCTTGGATGGGATTCATTAACCACTGATAGAACTCGTTAACCTTGAGTGGGACTTACTAACCTTTGATGGCAACTCGTCTAAGAGAAGGCAAACTCTGAATTCAAACCCAGAGATGGAGTGCCAAAGACAGTATAACATTTACACAAGAAAATTCTGAAAACTAACTTTTGCTTTGCTACTGGTGCCATGATGTTCCCTTGGGTTATCCAGATGCTTAGAGAGAGGTGATTTGCTGTCTAAGGAACCCGCTTATTCTAGTCAAGAAAAATCTCACTACTCCTGAGGACTGCATAAATTATGATGTAAAGATGCCAAACAAAAAAATAAATAATACCAATGAGAAAACACATCACATCTTTCTTGCCCAGTACTTCATTACATATCAACACACTCCTCTACCACACATTTCCCTGCCCAGTACATATCAACACACTCCTCTACCACATATTTCCCTGCCCAGTACATATCATCACACTCCTCTACCATGTATTTAAAAACTTTTTAAAAAATGGCAACCTAATGCCCCCAAGACTATAACTTGTATATAGAGACCGACCGAAAGTGGTTTTCTGATTTCGGCCGAAGCCGAAAATAGGTCGAAAGTTTAAAATGACTTTCGACCGAAACCGAAAAAATGCCGAAAGTTTAAAAATGACTTTCGGCCGAAACCGAAAAAAGGCAGAAAGTTAAAAATGAATTTCGGCCGAAACCGAAGCCGAAACCGAAAATGAAATATTAAGATATTTTGAAATTCGTTCCCGCATACATTCTGCATTAATCGAAAATGATGTGAGAAAGTATAAATATTTAAATTCTTTTTATAAAAAATGAGATAATCGTGAATATTAATAAATAAACATCTAATATAAGGGTCTCAAACTCGCGGCCCGCGAGCCATTTGTGTCCCGCAAGACGATATTTTGCAGCCCGTGACAGAAAAGTTTAGTGTAAATGCGCCGGCCCATTTCCCCCATTCTCATATCTATAACGTGACTCTCCGCGACGGTTTCAGTCGAATTTCACAGACTAGTCTAATTCTGATTTTTTTTTTTTATGTTTCTATATTTTTTGTATGCCAGGTCTCTGGCAACAGTGAGTAGTTCTTGAGAACCCTTAATGATTTTATTGTTATTTATAAAGGTTGAGCAGAATGTAACAGTTGTAATCGCTTTTTTGTGTGGATTACTTGATGCAGCCCACTCTCATTCAGACACTACCTCCTGTGCCCCCCTCCCCCCATGATTTGAGTTTGAGACCCTTGATCTAATGAATACTTTGGATTTTACCATTTTAATATCAAAGTAATTTAAATTGCTTTACAATTTTTTTTTTAAATTAGTGTGGTAGATAAAATTTGGCAAAAATTGGGGAGGGGGGGAGGAGGGGAAATAATGCAAAATATTATTTTAAAAAAAACAGGGTCTCTATAATATGTGGTTCTAAAATATCGCTTAATTTGTTTTTAAAGATCATTTAGTTGCTTGTTATTGATCGGTTAGTTTCTTCTTAAAGATCGCTTAGTTTGTTGTTAAAGATCGCTTAGAGTGTTGTTAAAGATCGCTTAGAGTGTTGTTAAAGATCATTTAGTTTGTTGTTAAAGATCGTTTAGTTTGTTGTTAAAGATCGTTTAGTTTGTTGTTAAAGATCGTTTAGTTTGTTGTTAAAGATCGTTTAGTTTGTTGTTAAAGATCGTTTAGAGTGTTATTAAAGATCGTTTAGAGTGTTGTTAAAGATCATTTAGTTTGTTGTTAAAGATCGTTTAGTTTGTTGTTAAATATTGTTTAGAGTGTTGTTAAAGATCGTTTAGTTTGTTGTTAAAGATAGTTTAGTTTGTTGTTAAAGATCATTTAGTTTGTTGTTAAAGATCGCTTAGTATGTTGTTAAAGATCGCTTAGTTTGTTGTTAAAGATCGCTTAGTTTGTTGTTGAAGATCGCTTAGTTTTTTCATAAAGATCGCTTAGTTTGTTCTTAAAGATAATTAATTTTTTTCCTTAAGATCTATTAGTTTGTTCTTAAAGATCTTTTAGTTTGTTCCTAAATAACATTTAGTTTTCTGTTAAAGATCGCTTAGTTTATTCTTATAAATCATTTAGTTTACTGTTAAAAATCATTTGTTTTGTTCGTAAAGATCATTTAGTTCGGTCTTAAAAATCGTTTAGTTTGTTCTATAAGATCGTTTAGTTTGTTATTAAAGATCGCTTAGATTGTTCTTAAAGATCGCTTAGTTTGTTTTAAAGATCGTTTAGTTTGTTCTTAAATGTCCCTTAGTTTGTTGTTAAATATCGTTTAGTTTGTTCTCAAAGATCGCTTAATTTGTTCTTAAATGTCGCTTGGTTTGTTGTTAAATATCGCTTTCGCTGAGTATTAAATGACCGAAAACCTTAGTATCTGGCCGAAAGTCTAAGTCAATTTCGGCCGAAACCGAAGAAAAACCGAAAGTTATTTTTTCTCTTTCGGCCGAAACCGAAATTAAGCCGAAAGTTAACTTTTCAGTTTCGGCCGAAACCGAAACTTGGCCGAAAGTGATAAAATGGCCACTTTCGGCGCCGAAACCGAAGCCGAAGCCGAAATTCGGTCGGCCTCTACTTGTATATAAATCTTCCAATGATTTATGCAGTTCTCTGACTTATTTAGTTCAAGGGGAGACAGCAAGATGTTGATAGATTATATGAATATAATCTAATTTGTCATTTGATTGTTGCAGGTGAAAGTTGCTAAAGACCTCAACATTCAGCTTCCTACTGGCATCCTGTGATTTAATAATAGACCATTATGTCTCTAAGAAACAAGGGGGACAAGTGGTGAGAGGGCAGAATACAGATTCAAAGTCATTCAATGCAGGATTAGCAGTTAAATAATTAATAGAAAACAAATGTTGAAAATTTGTTTAGGTCTAGAAACTATGTTTGCTTGATGGCATGATATCCTGTGTTACTTTTGTCCTAATAAATGTTACTTAAGGGACATAATCCTAATACGAAATGTTTCCCTGAATGGTGGTCATATAAACCCCCCCCCCCCAAAAAAACCTAAAAATTAAAAAAAAAAACATTTTTTTTTCAAAATTGAATCCGCAATGTTTTACATTTGTACCTACAATCATTGAAATCATTGAGATGATTGGAACAAACATTTGTACCCACAAACTATGAGATGTTTGGATCATCTGCATACAGAAACACTGTCGCAGCTGTATTACATTTCCTTTGCATATTGTAAGGGATTTTAAAAATGATGTACCAGCAATAATTCACAATGATATAAATGAACAAGCTTCACCCTAGGATATTATCTAGACACACCATCAACAACTTCAATATGATCTAGACACGCCATCAACAACTTCAATATTAAATAATGTAAAAATGTCAGGCATTCATATAATGTTTTTTAATAATATTAACCAGTAATTTATTACTATGAGTCAAGCGTGATGTATTTCCTTACATCTTAAAAGACTTATAGAATTTATTCATTAGCTTTTCATTCATGACCTGCTTTGAAGCCCTCACTGCCAATAGACAACGTAACAATGTGTTCACTCAAAGATGTTTCCTCAATTGTAGTTGTTAACCAATTTGACCCAAACTTCATAACCATGCCAAATATTTCAATCTTGAAGTTTGAATGTAACGTGTGTTAGTTTTGTTATGTTGGGTGATGGAAGTAAACCAAGGATGTTGAAATTAAATCCATGATGTTGAAAGTAAACCAATGTTGTTGAAAGTAAATCACTGATGTAGTTGCAATGATGTTATATGATGAAAGTGCCATTAGCTAGTTTAAGTTTTATTTAATAGGGTTAGTTTAATCCTTCGGTAGTCTCTCTGGCAAGGTAAATGATGGCTTTCTGTCCAGATTTTCACACTACAGTGGTATTTTTCAGTTGATAGAGCTATTTCTCAATGCTGGTTGTCAATGATTCATGCACATGCCAAGATCACTCTGTTAGGCCTCTCTTTATTCCCATGGGTTTTTTTCTTCATCCCTTTGAACAGAATTTCCTGGTATTAGTTGGACTTTTATCTTAGGTCACCTTCATCATTTTTAAATAGCAGTAGTTGGAACTATAGTTGTGATGTATATATTTTTTTTTAAATGGCAGATCATGAGAACATGAGCCAAGTGTATTCTTTAACTTCCAGAGTGCTTGTTTATGATTTTATGATAAGGAGTTGTGTGTGTCAGCCATCAGTTGTAAAACAATTGATTCATCTGTATGTCTTTCATGGTCCCAATGTTGATCATACCAATTACACATGTTTAAGTTTGGTGCATAGTCTATGTATGAATACGAGTAACATTCACATGGACCATCTGTTTTAACCACTTTTACTTGTCATCCCCTGTTTCTGTCCATTGAGGCAAGTTTTAATTTGATCAAATAACATTTTTCAAAATAATTAAGGCTTCCCAATAAATTGATAAAATGCAGATAGGTCAAACATTTTGGAGAACTTAATTAGTTTGGAGGCTATTTCTAGACTATTTGAAAAATTTAACTTCAGTGTAATTGTTTGAACATCTAAGTAAGTTAACTGAAATTTGATTTTGTAATATGCCAGGTGGGGAAATGATTTTACACTACAATTTAGCAGTTACATTTTTATTGAAATAGATTTTTAATTTGTTTTGAATGATTCATTACAATAGAAGTATTGGGAAAAACAAAATCAATGCATCTGGTAATTAATGCCATCAATAAACCTTTGTGCATAAATAAATTTGGTAATTAATGCTATCAGAAATCTACTTCTGAAGTTTTAGAAAATATAGTGAACACATAGAGTTGGAGGACTGGGTTGACATTGCATCAGTATTTAGGTTTGGTTTTTTAAACAAGAGATTTTACAACTTGAATTTGTTAGAATGTTTTTGTGTTTGAATATTTTTTCCAGTATAATGGAAATAATGGTGTACATGTTTTTACGTTAATTCAGCTGGATGTACAGAAGCCATTCACGAAGCAGTTGCCACCGGCCATATATGCAGGGCGTAAATATCGATTGCTTAGTTCCTATAGATTATTCTAATCCTGCCTACCCAGCTTGGTCTAATCCTGTATATCCTGATTATTGTATTTCTGCGTACCCCAATCTGGTCCCTGAGATCTATCATTCTCCATCAGAAGTATGGGACTCTGTGTAACAAGCAATGTACATAACAAACTGATTTCATCATGTCAATTAAATAATCCATAAACGAAGAAATTGTTTGAAGAAATTGTTTGACCACTTCATACATACAATGTTTTTTTGTTCTATTCAAATTTGAAATAAACAGTTATCAAAATGAAAACATCAACTTTAGGTGTTGTCTTTTGTTATTGCAGTGATCCAATCTGTCTGGGAGTGCGTTGGTTGAGGGGGAGGGCAATAGAAACTACAACAGAGGACATCAATTTTAGGCGTTGTCTTTTGTTATTGCAATGATCCAATCTGTCTGGGAGTGTGGTGGTAATGGTTGAGGGGGAGGGGCAATAGAAACTACAACAGAGGACATCAATTTTAGGTGTTGTCTTTTGTTATTGCAGTGATCCAATCTGTCTGGGAGTGTGGTGGTTGAGGGGGAGGGTCAATAGAAACTACAACAGAGGACATCAATTTTAAGTGTTGTCTTTTGTTGTTGCAGTGATCCAATCTGTCTGGGAGTGTGGTGGTGATGGTTGAGGGGGAGGGTCAATAGAAACTACAACAGAGGACATCAATTTTAGGTGTTGTCTTTTGTTATTGCAATGATCCAATCTGTCTGGGAGTGTGGTGGTGATCGTTGAGGGGGAGGGGCAATAGAAACTACAACAGAGGACATCAATTTTAGGTGTTGTCTTTTGTTGTTGCAGTGATCCAATCTGTCTGGGAGTGTGGTGTTGAGGGGTAGGGGCAATAGAAACTACCACAGAGGACATCAATTTTAGGTGTTGTCTTTTGTTGTTGCAATGATCCAATCTGTCTGGGAGTGTGGTGGTGATGGTTGAGGGGGAGGGTCAATAGAAACTACAACAGAGGCCATCAATTTTAGGTGTTGTCTTTTGTTGTTGCAATGATCCAATCTGTCTGGGAGTGTGGTGGTGATGGTTGAGGGGGAGGGACGATAAAAACTAGAACAGAGGACATCAATTTTAGGTGTTGTCTTTTGTTGTTGCAATGATCCAATCTGTCTGGGAGTGTGGTGGTGATGGTTGAGGGGGAGGGGCAATAGAAACTACAACAGAAGACATCAATTTTAGGTGTTGTCTTTTGTTGTTGCAATGATCCAATCTGTCTGGGAGTGTGGTGGTGACGGTTTAGGGGGAGGGGCAATAGAAACTACCACAGAGGACATCAATTTTAGGTGTTGTCTTTTGTTGTTGCAATGATCCAATCTGTCTGGGAGTGTGGTGGTGATGGTTGAGGGGGAGGGGCAATAGAAACTACAACAGAAGACATCAATTTTAGGTGTTGTCTTTTGTTGTTGCAATGATCCAATCTGTCTGGGAGTGTGGTGGTGACGGTTGAGGGGGAGGGGCAATAAAAACTACAACAGAGGACATCATTTTGTTTCATCAGTTCCTAGTGCAAATATAATTGTCCTTTATTGTTGTGTGGTTTGATTTGCTAGCTATAAACTTAATTCTGGTACATGTTTGAACACCATAGTCTTGCTACAGGTTTAAACACAAGTTGTGCTACAGGTTTAAACACAAGTTGTGCTACAGGTTTAAACACAAGTTGTGCTACAGGTTTAAACACAAGTTGTGCTACAGGTTTAAACACAAGTTGTGCTACAGGTTTAAACACAAGTTGTGCTATAGGTTTAAACACAAGTTGTGCTAGAGGTTTAAACACCTTAGTTGTGCTACAGGTTTAAACACAAGTTGTGATACAGGTTTAAACAACTTAGTTGTGCTACAGGTTTAAACACCTTAGTTGTGCTAAAGGTTTAAACACAAGTTGTGCTACAGGTTTAAACACAAGTTGTGCTACAGGTTTAAATACAAGTTGTGCTACAGGTTTAAACACAAGTTGTGCTACAGGTTTAAACACAAGTTGTGCTACAGGTTTAAACACCTTAGTTGTGCTACAGGTTTAAACACCTTAGTTGTGCTAAAGATTTAAACACAAGTTGTGCTACAGGTTTAAACACAAGTTGTGCTACAGGTTGAAACACAAGTTGTTGTACAGGTTTAAACACAAGTTGTGTTATAGGTTTAAACACCTTAGTTTGATACAGGGTTAATTAGTTGTTCTACAGGGTTAAACACCTTAGTTACTTAGTTGTGCTACAAGGGTTTAAACACCTTAGTTGAGCCACAGGGTTAAAAACCTTACTTACTTAGTTGTGGTGAAGGTTTGAACACCTTAGTTCTGCCACAGGGTTAAACACCTGATGAACTGGCCTCGCGGGCTGGATGAACTGGCCTCGCGGGCCACAATTTGGTGACCCCTGGCATTGGCCAGCACACACCAGATTAGCACACATCAAGGCCATTTTGTTTTTATTATTTTTTTTAAAATTGTTTTTTTAATGAATAAATCAGTTAAAATGATTAATGGTTAGAAGAAAAAAGAGAGAGATAGAAATAAAATGTAAAAGTTACTACCCTGGACCTGGAGAAGAAGCCTATTATAAGTAGAGTTTATTATTAGTTCAATAAATCACTTGAATATTTAAATGATAATTTTAATGAATTTATGTTATGCCACCCCAAGGGATCTCCCCCCCCCCCCCCCCCCCCCCCCCCCCCCCCAGGGATCTCCCCCCCCCCCCCCCCCCCCCCTCAACAATTGTTTTGTTTTGTCTTATAGTAAATCCGCCGCTGAGTTTATGACTTTGAAAATTATCATGTGTTTACAATCAAATTTTCCTTGGTACAAGGCATCGTTTAAGTCATTTGTGGCAATGGATACCGTCAACATAGAGACACATGCATTGTCTATGCATTGTGCTTAGATCGTGGATGTAGTAGGATGCGGGCTGGCTAATATCCCGTAGAATACAGGATTGAACATGTAGTACAGTGATAATTATAAGAGATGCCAAATTTAACGTGTAACCAATTACCCCTTCAATCTGTTCAATTTTTTCAAATATTAACATAAGAAACTAGATTTGACAAACTATTCCTTTAATCATTCGGCGCTAATACTAATAAAGCACCACAAATCACTCAACAACCCAGGCACTAGAATATATATGTTTTGTTTTGTGACTGTAAGAGCTGGTCTGTAGCATACAAAAATAAAAATTGCTAATGAAGAAGTTAAACAAATGAAAGACTTGATTGGTTCTATGATTGTTTAAATACATATTACGATATGTATCTTTTTACTAACAATTAAAAACTAAAATATATGTATATAACACAATCAGGTCAAATAATAAATACAATTTCACAGAATTTCCGTGTTGATCAATCAATATAAGTTAGATGTATGCACAAATAAAGTCAGATATATACCTTAATGAATCCCTGTATTTTGAAGTTATCAACCAAACTAAGGGCAAATGTACCCAAGGCCCCCTCCCCAGACATCTGTTCACACTTTGGCGCCCATGACTTCTTTCTCTACCCACTCCCACCTCCCGATCAAATTGACTTAGCGGCAATTTTCTATAAACAGTGAAAACTGTCAATAGTTTAAACCCCTGAGACCGAAGTAAAAGTTCGCAGTGATAATGTTCTGTTCGCAGGTTCAGCTAGTGTTAATTATTACTTTCTGAGACCGAAGTAAAAGTTGTTCTGTTCGCAGGTTCAGCTAGTGTTAATTATTACTTTCTGAGAGCGACTTAGCTCATATGTCAGGGACAACGCTATTTCAAGTTTGGTTATTTCCAGGTTTCACTGTGCCAAAAAGCACTACAATGTCGGGGGGGGGGGGGGG